CACATTTCCTCCAAGCTTAGATGCAATCCATTGAATACACCATCCTTGACGAACCCAAGGTTTTTTCTAAAACTGAACTCCGAGGTGTCCGCCTGGACATCTATGGTTGCCTGTGTTATCTGACTCATCCTCACATAGGGTGATGACTTAAATTCAACCATTTTCAGGTTGATCGGCTGTACTAATTCAAATTTACTTTAACCAACAACCCGCTCTTCAAAACTCCATATCATGCGACAAAAGAGCAAGCATTTAAATTTTAAATCTGAGGGATAGATGCAGATTCAGAATTAACCAAGCCACTGTCGGACCATATCAGTCTTGCTAGCGGTGAAAAAAATACAATGCACTGTGTGTACCGAAAAGGTAATCAAGCTCGGCCGGATAAGCCAAATTCAAACTATAGGTTGGTATTAGTCGATGACTCATCCAAGAACGCCTTCCACTGAATTGATTGCGCACATGCTGTCGTCGTGTGATAGAAACGGATACCGGGTACGTTTCTGGCGATTGAGAACGAGCGATTGGCCCCTATCGACCTAAATAATCTTATTCTGAGAGTTATATATATAACCTAAAACAACATACAGTTGGATAACGAAGGCGCCAATTTCATCTACGGGGAAGCGCAATGAGAAATATGTTTTCCAGCGCGTATATCACAGACAACATGCTCCCCTTGTATTCTTTTCATCATGTCATGTCTGATGTCACTGCGTGGCTTGTGTATATCAGTCACCGTCAGAACGTGTCGTTTAATTTAGGCTGGAAATACTCCTTTTTTCGACTGAATTACGTAACTGCTGGGTCAGTAAACGAACTTTCACATCGATGAAGCTGACCTTAAAACGAAATGCAAGCATGCTACCTACTCGGCCACCGGGCAGCTGGTAAGACCGTTTTTTCATTTTACATTTACACGATATAACCCGGTGGCCGAGTGGGTAGCTGCTTACGTTCTGCCCATGAGGTCCCGGGTTCGATCCCCATGGGTCGATGGATTCGCACAGCTGATGACACCTAACCAGGTCGAAACCGTTGTCTAGTACTTCCTTAAATTATGCCGTTTTAAGCAACAATGTTACGGATTTAAGGTGTTACTTCATAACGTTACTTCATTTTTCAATGATGATCTAGGTAGCTTCAGAAAAACCTCACTAAGAGCTATTGAATGCTGAGTACAGTATTCCTCACCAGAATTATCAGAGAACGATTCAGTGCGGACACCGAGGAAATTAGGAATATGGTCATTCAATAATGAGAGATCAGTGATCAACGAATCCATCTTTATTGCAAGTTCATAGGGTTGCAGTAGATAACATTAAGTGCATAAAATACAAATATTTTTATGATATTTTTATACCTCTTTCACAGTTCTACACGAATACAAAGATATATCCAAAAAGCAAGATTAGCGTCCTCTAACAAACGAGAAGGAGAAAGGGAATCAGTCTGTTCCAGCAAAAGAGGATTGAGCTAAAACATTACTGAAATTCCGACCGGGTTTTTCATTTACTTAGAAAAAGTGGTTCATATGGAACGGACCAACATTCCAACGTCGAAATCCCATTGGACCCCACATGCTTCGATAGAAGCCGCTATCCTTGTCACCAAAATGCTCATTTCGCACGGAACCGTACTCGTCTGTTTTGGATTTTCCGTTTTCTGTGCTCACCTCTTTCGTGGTGGCCACAATCAGTACAGACCCGGAAGCTTTCCCGTTCGGATGTTTATGTGCCCAGTCGAAAAATGGTTCCGGATGGTGAAATCTGTTGAACATTGATGGTGGATGTTCTCCATGCGCTCCTCGTACTCCCGGTCCACCGAATCTATCCCCGGGTCTTCCACCCCACATGGCTGATTTGTCCTCTCGTTGGGCGCCGATCATTTGGCCGAACAATGGACTTTTGAAATTAGATACAATATCGTAACCGTGTTGACCATCCGTGTGCCATTTGAACCATTTCACATCCGATTTTGGCTCGTTGTTGGCGTGACAGAACACGATCAGGGAACAGAGCGCGATTAGGGCACTCAAACGAGGCATGTTTGTGTGTGACGGTACTGGAACGAAATTTGATTCATCTGCAGACAGTCGGTTTATATGATGCACCATGACAAATCGATAATTCATAGATTGCCGTCTGTCGGACGAGTGCAAGCCAGTTGCGCATTTGATTAGTTAAAATCGATCAATTTGTTGATGATCTGTGATAGTGAAACACTTATGGCATGAAGAGTAGCAGCAAAACACAGAGGATTTTGAGCAGACATTATTGTTCGCCATAAAGAAGACATTCATCCGAAAATCAGAGTGCGTTTTCATTTGTGTGAAGTATTGATTGAATTTTGGGAACTGTTACGCATCCACGAACGACATTAAAACAGTCATCAAATAGACAAAATAAATTAATTCGAAATACAAACTCACACATCACCTCCACTGCCCATTGGCGCCGGGCTTTGCCGTATTCGTTGGTCACAACACAGCGATAATTTCCAGCATCGGCCGATTGAACATTATTCAGGTATAGCTGTAAGATATTAGGTGATACATGAAAATTTTCATCACGTTGGTCTTACACTAGTCCAAATCAGATTCACATGAAAAATGCCTTCTGGAAAAGACACTATCAGTCCAAATCATGATGATATTACATCCAAAACTACTGTAAACCAGTGACGACCGGAGAAGTATACGTAGCATCAGTTCTATTTATACCCCGGTTGAAATTATTCACGTACAGTCAATCTCCTGCTATGTCGCCCCCCTCGGGAATTCGAAAAAGTGGGTAAATTCTAGGAACTGCGACATAGACAGTCGTAGATGCTAATAAGTATTATAAAAATCGGTTAACAGTTTTGTGATAAAATAAACCGAATCGATGAAAAGTAGGTTAATCCCGTTAGTTGTTCCCAATATTTATAATTATAAACTGTTTATTTATAACGGAATTTAGATCAACCGTCCTGCATATCCTGTATGTATCGAAGAAATTTCAATCTTTTATGACGCCCTCAGCTTAATTTTGCTACATTGCACGCGGTATTCAGCCTTCTTTCAGTTCTATCATTCTGGTTATCCCGAAACTGCCTACCTTTCTTCAGGGGAACTTTTTCTGACATAATTATCTCATATTCATTCCAGATATTCCTCCATTCCCTTGCAAAGTTAGGCAAACCGCATAATTGATTATATGACGTCCACCATAATATACAACTGTTTTAGCTATAATAATCACATCATTATTAACCCATTGAAGGAAAATAAAGGTGAACCCCATCGAATACATTGAGAAGGAAAGAAAATCTAAAACGAGTGAGATATCTGTTACGAGGTGTACTCAGAATATTGGCTTCCTTCCCATTTTCAAACTGATTGTTCCTTGTGCAATCTATTCATGATTTTCTATCGAAAAATGTGTATCACTAGCGTCTGTAGAAATCCATTCGTTCGTTCGCTTCTGTGGTTAACAAGGTATGTTCAAACCGATTGATGCATTCGTCATGACCGTTGTCAGTCGGACCAAGTTCAACCAGTGATACCTTAATGTGATTCATAAAGCATAGCTTTTCAATTTAATATGTTCGAGTATCAATTTAATGTGTCTTGTTCCTATGTAGGTAGTACGATAGTCCGATTACTCCATCATTTCACATTGTTTTGTACTTTTTGTGATCATCTTGTCATGTGCAGTCCATCCGTGCGTGGTGATACAGCCGAAGTTCACTGGATCTGCTAAAGACTCGCGGTTGTTAACAAAGTGTAGTTTCTCGCTCGGGTTAGCTGGGCAAGCACCAGGTCTCTTGTGGCGGTGACCTATCCGACCGATCGATCGATAAACGAACCCGATCGGTCGTGTGATTTTCGGGCCGGCGTAGGAGGAGGATAAGTTCTGAATCGGATGCTGCTTAAGTTGGTAGAGAATAACCACAGGAGAATCCGTTGTGGAACGATGCGCCATATGGGAGATCCGGAATAAAAAAGTTCAAGCGATGATGACACTGGGCCAACATTCGACTAGTATTATGATCCAGTGGATTGTGTGTGTGTGTGTGTGTGTGTGTGTGTGTGTGTGTGTGTGTGTGTGT